TAGAGATTTCAGAATGAATTCAGAAATAGAATTGATTTAATAATCTTTTTGGAATAAGAATAATAAATTAATAAATAGTTTTAAAAAGATTTCATGATTCTTTGAAATTATTATAAAATTAGACTTCAATATAATAAAGAAAGATTTAGATTCAAATATAACAAAATCAAAGGAATTAATGAAATCAAAATTCCTTTAATTTTAAATAATAATAATCAATTATATTTTCTTAATAATTTTAATTTCATTTAGAATATTGATAATAAAGAATAAATCAAAATCCAAGTGTTGGTATCACCATGGGGATGGTGAAGTAATATAGTACTAATGATTTACACTGTTGTAATATTGCTTGAGGTTCTAAAAGCTAAAGGCTTCGAACGTATATACTATAGTGCGGGGGCGCTAGCGTATGCGCTAGCGCGGTCAATCACATGATCCCTATCCCAACACCAAGTTTTTTTGTTGAAAAATAATTAAACTTTAATATAAAAAGTAATTTTTCTTCAAAAAAAATCCTTTAAGCTTTACTTATCGGCTAATCATCCTCATAGCCAACCACTTAAGGTAGTTAATAGCATCAACTCCGATATACAGCAACTCCGACACGCTCGATTTTTTCAATAATTAATATCAATTCAAATACTTATTATAAAATAATAACTTTTATATAGGGTTATAGCCCTTGATTATCTCTTTAATTTATATTAAAGCTTTTTATTTCAAATATTATTTATTTATTATTATTATAAAATTAACATTTTGAATAATCTAATAAATCTTTTCAATTAAGAAAAGTATTATATTTATATCATCAGTTGTATAAACTTCAAATCTAAGGCTAATAATATAACCTCAAAATTCAATCTTCAAAAACTTGATAATTAGAAATAATATAATGAAAAGAAAATCTAATAATTATATTGAAGTAATCAAAGGTTATAATTCTATATAAAATTTATTATTATATAATATTTAATTAAATTAATATTATTTATTGAAAAAATCGAGTGTATCGGAATTACTGCATGTCAGAGTTGGTGCTACCAACCATCTGGGGGTGGTTGGCAGAATTTTTCTAATAGCCAATAAGTATATCTAACTTTCCAAAATAATAAATAATTCGAAAATTGAATTAAAATAGAAATTTAGATTAAGAAACTTAATAACGATTTAGTAATTTTATTATTATAAAGAAGATTATTGATAATATAAATAATATTGAAATAAATATTATTAAAATAAATCTGTAATATTAAATTATTATTCAATTTAAATATAATAAAATATATTCAATTTTGAATAAAAATATCTTGTTTTTGATTTTATAAGTATTAGATAATATAAGAGTTCTGAAATCTACTTATCATACCTCTATAACAAATATAATAAAATCTCTATAAAAAATAAGTTTTATTATATAAACCAATAATAAATAATTGCAATTTAAATATAAAAAATTAATTGAAATATTTTTCATTATTTTTGTTAACTAATTATCTGAAATCGAAATCGAAAATTCTCGAAAATTCTTATATATAATGTTTTTCTTATATAAAATAAATAAATTTTTATAAAAAGTTAAAGTTTTCAATTTTAACCGTTTCAAATCCTGTTTAAAAAATTAGAAAAAAATATTTCATTCATTTTTCTATTAAATTTGATAAATTACATTATATTTTCTAAAAGAATTTCCGATTTTATCTTATATTATAATAAATAAACTAAAATATAAAAAATTGAATAATCTTATATTTTAGCCGGAAAAGCGTTATACATTTAGCAAGTAGATTTCAGAACTCTTATAAGTAAATATTCCTTTTTATTTTAAAATTAATATACTAATTATAAAAAAAAAGAATTTGATCTCAATAAAACATGTAGAAGTTAATTAAAAAAAACTTATTTAAAAAAAATAAAGATATTATAAAACTATTTTATTAGCTTAAAACTAATTTTATAGTCAATCAACTTCTAAAATTTACATTCAATCTATTTTAATAGAATACTAATAATTTATTCATTAAACTAAATCTTAATATTATTATTTAATTTATTAAATCAAAATTAACTATTTATTAGATTATTTATTTAATGAAAATTAGAATTGAATTATAAAGTGAATTATGATGGTTATTATTAAAATCATGTATTAAATTAAATTTATTAATTTATATATTAAAGGAAAAACTTATTAATATAAATTCAATTTAATAGCTTTTTTTTTAAATTTGCTAAATACATGATAAAATTGTAATAATAAAATCAAAAATATATGTTTTTGGATTTTTTTTTTATAAAAACAAAACATATTATTCCAATATGGAGTTATAATTAAATTCTTATTTTTATTATATCTCAATCGTAATACTTATTCCCTCAAATTTAACGAATCACTATATCAAATAAAATATATATACAAACCACTACTACGTTCAATGTCTATAAAATCATAATATTCTTCCTTTTCTTAACTATTATTCTTTTCAATTCTCTTCTAACCCTTTTTCACTTACTCATTCAACTTTATTATACCCTACTATACACTATCAATCCATCTTATATAAGCCTACTTTAAATATTCTTTATATTAACCTTACTATAACTAAAAACCTCAAAAATATAATATATCTAAAATCAGAATTTCTAATTAACTCCTCTAAACTCAATACATTTCACTAATTCCAATATCAATTATTGCTTTTAAACTTATTCTATTAACTCAAATATATATATAAAATTCAATTCAATTTCTTCCTCTTAATATTATACTATTATAACCTTTATAAAACTACTCTTTAATAACTCCATCTACAAATTTTTTCCCCTTATTATTACATTTATATATTAGAATTTAACTAATTGAAAAAATATTATATAATAATATAATTACTGTCATAGATTGATTATAACTCTACATAGTAGGTTTGATATTAGTCAAACTACTTATATCCTTTTGGAGTTACGTGGCCGAGTAGTAGAGTACTAGGTGCCGTGACAATTGCTATTTAACTATACTATAAATAAATAACATATTGAAAAACAAATTCTAATAGATTTTCTATATTATAAAACAATAATATAAACTATATACCTTAATCTAAATCAATTTATAATAAAAAAACTTATTTCTATTAAGTATCCTTACTTACTCTAAAATACAAAATATTAATAATCTAAATATCAAATTACAAATAAACAAAAAGATATAAATATTTACAAAAAAACAGATTATATAACCTTAGAAGAAATTCTAATATTTACAATTTATTACTCTATATTCAATACTCTTAATAATCACAATAACAATTCCTTTTTTTAATTATACTATATCTATTAAAATATAAGTATAAATTAGATTTGGTCTTCTTTTACTATTATATTATTATAAATCTTATAGCTATACCCCTTAGTGATTTTAATTATAGTGATTATATCTTAGCTTCTATTGGAAGTTGTGGTACGTGCACTACACTACTGTGCATATATCACTTCCACTTCATAGTTAGATTTTACCTTAGTACAATTAATCTACATAGTCAATATTATATGCATTCCACTGGCCTGCTCCTTTATTGTAAACAGCTTCACTTTTATTATATTATAATATAACTAATAGTAAGAATATCTTATAGTGATATAAGTAATTGCTATCTACTTATACTATAAATCAATTATATGTTAAGAAAAGGAAGTTCAATAAATTCTCTTTAAAAAAAAAAATATCCCCTAGAGTGCGGACATTCAACGCCCTCGCTTAACAGATATCTTAGTAAACAATCAGAATATTAGAATATTTAGAATTTAGTTATATATTCACATTCAATCTTTAATATAAAATCTTTTTAATATTATTTCTATTTCAAAATTCTAAAGATAATAATATATAATAATTTCTAATTTTCTCTTTTTTAATTTTTTTTAAAAAAATTATATTTTGAAATCAAGATTTTTATTGATAAATGAAATAATTAAAAAAGCATTATAAATCTAATCTAACCAATTATATTTCTTCATACAAAGTATATTGTATAAACTATAATAGGCGCTATTTTCCCGCACTCTAGGGGATACTATATACCTTAACCTAGACTGATTTATAGTAAGAAAGATCGATTTCTATTAATATAACTATAATAGATTACAGATAATATTATTAGAATTTCGATTAAGCTTCCTAATAATTAAACATAAAATACTAATAATATAAGAATTAGATTATAAGTAGAAAAAGATATAGATAATTACAAGTAGATAGATTATAAGAGTTCTGGAACCTACTCACCGCACCCCTGTGACAAATGTAACAAAATCCCTGCAAAATTTATGTTTTTCTATATAAACTAAAATACTATATAATTAATTCAATTATTGATATTAAATTATAAAAACTTTTGAGTGAATAATATGAATCATTTCTTCTATATAAAAATTTCTAATTTATTTTTAAATATTTTTGTTGTAAAGTTATATAAGCTTTTAGTTGAAAAAGTTCAGAATTTTTAACTTGTAACGCTTTTCCCATACAAAATAAGCGATTTTTTCGAAAATTTTCGAATTTTCAACTTTAACCCTTCACAAATACTATTATAAAAATATTTAAAAATAAATAATATATTTTTTTAGATAATTTGAGTGATTCTGAATCTTTCTGTAATACTATATTCAGTTTTATCTCACACATTTATAAATAAACCAGGGTATGAAAAGCTGAATAATCGTATATTTTAGTCGGAAAAGCGTTACATGTGCGGTGAGTAGGTTCCAGAACTCTTACAACCTTATAAGGAGTTTTATTAGAGTTATAGTTATATTAAAAGTATAGTATAGGAACTTAAAACAGAACCTTTGGTTTTATATATTGCTTTTAATAGAAAAATATATATTACTATTAAAAAGAATATACAGCTATCTGCAGCTATATAGTCTTATTTCTATAAAAAGAAGGTCTTCTGGATTCAGTCTGTACGTTTTGAAGCTGAGATAGGGAATCCTGTAATATGGATTCGTGGTATCTCCAACAATCGAGAAATACTGCTGATATCACCAAGTTTCAAAATACTCCAAATGTTAATACAGTTATGCAAGCCATCGCGAACGTACAGAATGACCTTAGAATGACTACAGAGACAATCAAAACCACAGTAATAACAGTTCAGCATACAGCAGAAATGCATCAACAGATAGTGATGATAAGTCAAGAAACAAATCAGACAATGAAAGAAGCCGCTGAGTCGGGGAAAGCAACAACTATACTCCTTCATAATGCAACAAATAAAAAAACAAAAGTGACAAATGACATCACAAAAATGGTTCAATCAGGTCCCCCTTCCAAAGTCTCATATGCATCAGTAGTAGGTAATAATACTACACCTATTAGCAAACCTATAACAATCTCTACTCAAACATTTCGTTCCTTCAAGCACAACGTGAAATCATCGTAGAGATTACAGACGCAGGAACCATAGAAAGCCTAAGGACGAAAACCCCCAGAAATCTACAGAATCATGTTGATCGTGCAATTGAGCAAAGCAAAAACAGTCATATTGAAAAGATACGTAGTGCATCAGCCAATCAACTTAAAAGCGGAGACCTCAGCATCAAGACATTGAACAGAAGCGATGCGGAGGCATTGAAACGATTTGCAGAAGATTGGATAGCCCGACTCGGGAAAGGTACGACTATTCGCCTACCCACATATGGTATACTTGTACATGGAATCAGGATCAGCTCGATGGACATGGAAAAGTTTGACGAGATCAAAGCTGAACTACTACACGATAACAGAGCATTCGTGCCAAATGCAGATATCAAATATATTGGGTGGCTATCCAGAGCCGCGCTTACTAAAAGTGCCTCAACCATAATTGTGGAGTTTACCAACCCAGAAGACGCCAACAAGATAATTGACAAAGGTCTTATCTGGCAGGGAGAGGCATTTCAATGCGAGAGATATGACAGACCATGCCGACTGAAGCAATGCTATAAGTGTCAAAGATACGGCCACATAGGAACCCAGTGCAAAGCGAACACAGCATGTGGCTACTGTGCGAAAGCACACAACTCGAAAGATTGTCCTGATAAATCGGATAAGTCCACTACAAGGAACTGCGTGGTGTACAGAGGAGCACACGAAGAATGGAATAATCGATGTCCGGCTCGCAAGGAAGAGTTGAGCAAAGTGAAAGCAGCATATGATACTAGACAACCATATCACTTCGTCCCATCATCAAAAGATAAATTACCACTTAATCAGACTAACCCCTACTTAACACCAACAGAATCGGCAATGATAGCCCACGGAAGCCAGAGGGGGAGACCAGGCAATATATCAACAGGACTGACCCCCTCTACACCATCACTCATACCAGGGAGACAAAATGCTCGAAGCAAATCTCCTACCAAGGGTAGAGCTACTAAAAGAAGCTATACGGGAAATACAGCAGAAAGCAGACAGGATGAAAATGAAGACGTGATCATGGGGGAAGTCAATCAAAGGTCACGTAGACCACACATGCCATCCAGAACGGCATTAGAATCAACAACAACGAACTCAATACTCAGCTCCCAATGGAACACTGAGGAATCGTGAGCCACAAAAATGACCTACACATCCTACAGTACAATACTACGAAGTCAAAGAACCTGGTCATGGCTACATTGCTAAGAGACCCAAAAATACACGAATACGATATTCTAGCACTGCAAGAACCGTGGAGAAACCCTATCACCCCAACCACTCACAACCCAATATCGGATATATTCCATTTATGCTTCCCAAAAGATAATAAGGAGATGCCCGCTAGAGTGTGCTTTTTTATTAACAAAAGAATTGACCCTAATAATTGGACATATAAAGACCACTCTCGAGATCTTGGCACATTAGAAATAATTACAAAGCCACCAGGCACAAATCAAGCAACAAAGATTATGTTGCATCATATATATAGCCCCCCAAACTCATCAATAAACAGAACAAGCTGTTTACCACTTCTCAAAACAACTCTCACAAGATACCAAGATGAGGAACAAATCATCCTAGGAGATTTCGATTTACATCACGAATATTGGGGTGGCCCGAAAATACGTATAAGTGAACCCGAATCCGAGGACTTAATCGAAATCATAGAAAAAACCCAGCTAGCTAGCCTCCTACCATCAGCCACAGTCAAGTATGACGATAAAAACACACAAAGCTGTATCGACCTCTGCTACGGTACACAAAATATAGCAGACAGAGTTATCAAATGCTCTGTAGACTATGATATGGACCATAATTCTGATCACTTACCAATCACACCTATACTAGATTTAAGAATAGCACAGCGACCGCAAAGAAATATGTGTGACTGGCCCAATGTAGATATACAAAAGCTACGCGCAAACCTTACACATAATCTACCTGTGCTCCGCTCTCCTAGGACAGAGACAGCACTAGACAGATATTTAGAAGAGTTGGTAAAAGCTCTGCAGCTTGCCATCGACCAAGCTATAACACTAAAGAGATGGTCCCCAAGAGCAAGAGCAGGCTGGACTTTAGAGTGTAAGGAGCTACAGGCTGAAGCACGTAGGCTGAAACGACAAAATAGCCGAAATCATACAGAACAGAGTTGGGAGGCTTACAGAAAAGCCCGAAACGAAAAATGAAGAGTCATCCGACAGGCGCTACTTCAGGGCCATCGGGAACAAGTCGGAAAAGCTACAGAGAATCCGGAAAATATGTGGAAACTAGCAAAGTGGGCAAGAAATCGAGGAGAGGTAGCAGCAACAATTACCCCGGTACTTAAAGATCCGAACTCTGATATCGAATATACAAAGACACAAGACAAAGCGAAGCTTTTCCGAAGAGCTTTCTTTCCAGCCCCCTCATCTAACAAGAATATTCAACACCAGCTTAAAACTAGGATACTGCCCGGCGCACTTCCGACAATCCACTACAACCGTTATTAAAAAGCCCGGTAAAAGTGACTACACGATTCCTAAAGCATACCGACCAATAGCTCTGTTAAATACAATCGGAAAGATTATGGATGCGATTATAGCAAAAAGAATCGGCTACATTACCGAGAAACACCAACTACTACCAGAAACACATATCGGAGGGCGGAAGGGAAGATCAACAGAACACGCACTGCACGTCATTATCGAAAAGATATACGAATCATGGAATGCTCCCAGATCACAAATAGCAAGCCTACTTTTGCTCGATGTCTCAGGGGCATTCGACAATGTTTCGCACGATAGACTCGCCCACAATTTACGCAAAAGAAGGGTTGATAAGAGAACAGTGAAATGGATAACTAGTTTCCTAACAGATAGAAGTACATCTATACATTTTGATTCATTTCGATCAGAAACATACGAAACGAAAACAGGCACCCCAAGAATCGCCATTGCCGCCTATCCTATACCTATTATATAATGCCGACCTAATAGAAATATGCAACCAAGAACCAAACACATTAGCCACCGGGTATATAGACGACATCGCAATTCTCAGATGGGGAAACTCAATTGAAGAGAACTGCAGAGTATTAGAAAGAACTATGCAACAAGCCAATGTATGGGCGAAGAAACACGCATCAGTATTTGATCCAGGGAAGTTTCAACTAACCCACCACACAAGAAAGCGCCTCGCAACAGAATTGGATCACGGGATACAAATGGAACAAACAACAATCTACCCATCTCCAAGCTGCAAATATCTAGGAATCACAATGGATACAGAATTGAATTGGAAACAGCATATCCAAAAACTAAAACTAAAGGTATCGAGCTTTTGATGGTAATTTAAATCTTATTCTTAGAAATAAAATAAAATATAAAAAGGTTATAAAGGTTTATTATAATCTGAGATTTATTTTTGATAAATATATTACTAGTAATAAATAATGTAAGATTTCTGAATTTTTAATTAAATATCACTCAATTATATAAAATCATATTAAATAGAATTTTATCAATAATTTTCTTTAAAACAATTCATTTATTTTTAATAAGATAATAAGACTTTTTGTTATAAGCAATAGGGAATTCAATATTTAATATAAGAAATATATAAAGATTATCAAAATTTCTTTTATAAAAATATTTGAAAATACTTTATTTATTAAACAAAATTATGAAAATAAGTTTTATTTTGAAATTATTATTAATAATCTAATAAATAATTCAAGAAATAAATACTTTAAATCAAAAAGTAAAAAAAAATTGAATCTATTTTATTTAGTAAGAACAACAACTCTAATCCAGATTCAGATCTAAATTTAAATCAATTTTAAGCTAGATTTTTGGATATTCTAGAAAACAAAAATCGGAATAAATAAGAATTTTTTTAAAAATAAAGAAGAAATTAGAATTTAAAATATCCAAAAGAATTTTTAATAAATCTAAAAAGACTAAGAATATTATTATTTCAAGTTAATAAAGCAAACAGATTCAATAAAACCCTCTGAATATCTTATAAGCTAATAAATTATTAATCTATTATAACTTTACTAAAATTTAATAAAATCATATTAATTAATATTAAGAATTAATTAATTAATTGTTATCTGTAAGAATATAATAATGTTAATATCTATATATCTTTTTTTATCTTGTTTTTCTTCTCTTTAGAATTTTTATTTTCTTCCAATTTGATCAAAATAATCAATCTTTTTATATAGAAAAAAATATAAATAAAATATAATATAGATTATTTAATCCTTTTTAATAATTAACATTTATAAATCTTCCTTATATAATTTAATAAAAGTAGTTAGTTTTTTATTTAACTTTTTATATATCTTACAAAATACTATATAAAGCTTCTCTTTTCTTTTCTCTACTAAAAGTAAGAGTTGAGGCCCCGGCTTATCGCACACTAAGCGAAAACACAGCAAAAACCTTCATTTATTCAACTTTTTAATTATATAAAATTTCGATAAACATGTGAATTGAATTATTCAAATTAAAGAATATAGTAAATAATTATCGAAATTATTTTAAAAAATGAACAGATTATTTTTACGATCTTTTTGGAAAGAGTTGTAGAGGTTTAAAGTTAGAATTTTCAAAATTTTCAAAAAAATCGATTTTTTTGTATGGGAAAAGCGTTACATGTGATAAATTTTGAAAATTTTCAATTTCAAGATTCTATAACTTCTTTCAAAAAAATATTAAGAATAATCTGTATTATTTTTAAGATTACATATATAATAAACTCTTATATGTAAAATTCTGAAATCATTATTTCAATTATCAAATAAATTATCAGAGAAATTAGTTTATATGGGAAAACGATTTTTTTGCAGGGATTTTGTTACGAAAAAGGGTAGTGTGCGATAAGCCGGGGCCTCAACTCTTACTATATCTTAATAACTTATCTATAGTTTCTATAAAGAATTATTCTATGATCCTATTACCTTCTACTCTTTTACATTAATTGAGATTGAAATTTCAGGGCGAAAATTTAAAAATGAAAGAGTTTTATATGAAAGCTAATTATATTAATCTTTGAAATATTATATTATTTTAAACTATTTATTAATCGATTAATTTGATTCAGAATTATTTTAAACTTTGAATAACGATTGAATTAATTAATAGCTTTTATTTGATATAGAGATTTCTGATTTCAAAGCTATATTAATAAAATTGAAATTTTATCTTGATCGTCTTCGACAAAAAGATTATAATACTATAAAACCATATTTTTAGAAGCTAGTCATGAAATTGGGTATATAATATATAGATATCTGAATAATTTACAGATGTAAATTTTATTATTTATTTTGTTTTTGTCAAATAGAAATAATTATTCTAGAAACATTTCTTGAAGTTATAAACTTTTGCCTTTCATTTAGCTATTATTAATAAACTAAAATACATTTTAATTACTATCAATCTAGAAAAAAACCAAACACTAATATATAAATCTCACAGCTTTTTTAATAATCTATATAATATAACCTCAATTTACTTCCTTAGTTATATATCTACAATCAAAGAATATATATATCTCGATTTGCTATATATAATAATATATGATCTAAATTCTAAAATATTTTAAGTTAATAATAATAATTTATTTGTGATATAGAATTTAAACAGCATAATATAAAAAAGCTAAATCTATTAGGTTTTAATTATTGTTTTAGAAATACTTAGGATTTATTATCTCAATCTAAATATATTAAATACAGTAATACGATTACTGCTTGAGTTAGTATATAAGAATGATATTATTAAATCGAAATATAGTATGTTACAGGGTATATATATAGTAGTAAGCTATCAGGACTTCGATCCCTGATACTGTGCCTTTTGAACAGATTGCGTGCGTGGCGTAGTGGTAAAGCTTACAACTCCTATTGTGTTTCCGCTTATGTAACATAGTAATCCTAAAAATCCTTAACCATTAATTAAATTTCGTTATAATTATATATCAATAGATACTTATTAAACTTACTAATAAAAACAAAGCATTCAAATAAAAAGAAATAATCTTGAAAATTAATATTATACCTTCTAATATTGTTTTAATTAAAGATAAGTAAGTATACTCAGTAATTATTTATATATTAATATATTATAAATCATTTATTCTCTTTATTCTTCTCTAATGTCTAAACTTAAACTCTATCGTCCTAAACCCAATTCTTTATTTCCGATTATATTCTCGAAATATATTTTCTATTAATTACAAAAGTAAGAGTTCTGAAACCTACTCACTGTATATATAACGCTTTTCCGGCTAAAATATACGATTATTCAGCTTTTCATACCCTAGTTTATTTATGACTATATGAAACAAAATTGGATATAGTATTATAGAAAGATTGAAAATTACTTAAATTATCTAAAAAAATATATCATTTATTTTTGGATATTTTTATAATAGTATTTTTGAGGAGGTAAAGTTGAAAATTCGAAAAATTTCGCAAAATTCGCTTATTTTATATGGGAAAAGTGTTATAAGTTAAAAATTCTAAACTTTTTCAATTAAAAGCTTATATAATTTTTCAACAAAAATATTTAAAAATAAACTTGAAATTTTTATATATAAATAACGATTCAAATTATTCATTACAAAGTTTTTATAGATTAACATTTATAATTATATGAATTATATAAGAATTTAGTTTATATGAAAAAACATGAATTTTGTAGGGATTATGTTACAAAACATCACGCTGTGCGGTGAGTATGTTCGATAACTCTTACTATCCCCTAAGGTGTCAACTTCAGGCGTCCTCGCTTAACAAAGTCTTATTGACTAATCAAAACATCAGGATTCTGAGAATTCTTACAGTTTTCATATGTTTTTTTGAATTAATTATCAAATACTTAGAAATTTAATAAATATAAATAATACATTCCTTATACTTATATAAAACCTTATATATATCTTTTTTTATTAATAAATATTGAGTTTTTGATTTAATAATATTTTTAATTATAATTATATCAAAGTCGTTTATAATTACTTTCTAATTTTAGAGTATGAAATGTAATAATATTTATAAAATCTTCAACCAATTCTTTTTCAGTAAAAAAGTCTTGGAAATATACTTAGTTTATTTATTATCACTTTTCTTATAAATTTTAATCTTCAAATATAATATAAAAACCTTTATTTATAATATTATTCTTGAAGTTGTTAATGTTCTTGCTAAACGCACGGGCCACATCGGGCGCCCGAAACTAACACCTTAGGGGATATAAGTAATTTAAATATATAAATAAATAAAAATATCTATAAGATTTCTTCTTTTCGATAACAAATTATATTAATTCAATTTATACTGCTTATATAATATCTACTATATGAGTATTTCTCTATATAACGTTGAAACTGATAAGCGAAACTGGAATGTCTCTATTATATAATAAATTCATATAAAATCATAGAAGTTTTTATACTATTTATAATTAAAGTACCTATGTATATATTATTAAATTTCTTCGCTATTAACTATCTACCTACCTATATAATAACTCATTAAAGTATTCGATTCTTACTACCCTTTCTCAAATATAAAGTATTTATATTATCTCTCCCCCCTCTTTCATTTTATTCTCATAAAATATATCTAGTAAAAATCTATCTAAGATGAATAAAAATCCCAAAAATATATATATACCCGATTTAACAACATATATTCAAAATATAACTTTTTTTAATCTAATCAACTTTTTACTGAATACTATATTAAAATAATTCAATTATTTTTAATTCGATTAATATAGCTTCAAATTAAAGAAATTCTATATTATAATATAAATCTTAATTGATAGAATTAAAAACCAAAATATAAATTATTTTTATTAGAAATTTATAGAATTGAAAATGATTAAATAAAAATCCAATTTCGAAAATTCAAAAACCTAAAAACTATACAAAAAATCATGATTTCATTTAATCATTTTCAATTCAATGAATTTTCAATCAATATTTTATTTCTTGATTCTATTAATTGAGATCTATATTTCTATATAGAGTTTTTTCAATTTGAAGTTATATTGATTGAATTGAAGTTTTTGATTTTTGAAATTCGATTAGATAATATTCGAAAAAGTGCTTTTTTTTCTGAACACATGTTATTAAATCGAGTATATACATATATACATACGAAGGTTGGAAGGGTAATTAATGTAAATCCTACTTTTACTAAAATCTTGCTGTTTTTATAGATTTTGCTGCTGCTTTAAGCGATTCGAATAGATATTGAGCTGTTCCCCCCAAAATTCAGTCTTTAAAGCTTTTACTTGCTTTTTATCAATTCTAATAGTTTTTTAGTATTTGAAGTATTTGAAGCTTCTAATAGGTTTTAAATAGATTCTAAATAGAATTTCGAATCAATATTCAATAAGAAATTAGTGATTTTGAATAAATCGTAGATAAAACGTGACTTTTACAATACTTCCACCACCTGGAGTTCACCATATAAATTTTCAACCAGCGACGTGATTCTATTGGTCCAAGGGCCAAAAGTGGGGACACATTTAGGTGCATTTTACATTACTTACCCATCCAACCTCCGTACATACATACATACATACATACATACATTACATCACATTACATCAGAAAAACATTTATAATACCTAACCTTAGTATTTCCCCTAGCGCGAGGTACTCCTCCCCACAAACCCACCCACCTAATCCATCCCACCTAATATCCATCCCACCACCCCTCCACCCCTCGATCCCTCCCCCAAAAATGATCCCAAAAATGAAGCTAAGTGCGGGGTAGCTAGCTCCAGCTCCAGCTCCGGCTCTAATCTACCCACCCGAGCCACCCATTGATATCGTGTGGATTTGGATATCCATCGTATGGATATCCTTTGGATAGATTATGGTGGGGTCGAAGCAATGATATGATATGATATGATATGATGATGGGATGATAATGGATGAGAGGTGGGGTTGAGAAAAACAAAAACAAAGTAAAATATATATATAAATATATATAGTAATCACGATACATACCTAGGTAGGTATGTACGACAATGCATGCCCAAGAAATACTAAAGAAATACTGGTGGGTGAATGAACCCCACACCACCCACGTCCCGGACCACTTCTGTTCTCTCCACAAATAATGGAAGAGGTGAAATGTTGTGGGACACGGGGGTTAAGACTCGGGTGGTGCGGGAAAGGGCAGGGTGGATAGTTGATTGGTGATTTGAGGAGATGTGTGTGTTTGCTCATGGATTGATGGATGGATTCCTGTATGTATGTAAGTATGTTATACATCGGATGGAGGAGATGCATGCATGGAAAGTGTATGTATGTATGGTAGATTAGTAGGTATTTTGTTCATATTAACCTACCTACTTAATATACATAGCTATACCCGAGTATCTACACTAGCGACTAATTTTATATAATTACACTTAAACCATGCTATCATTCCTTCATAATCCTACAATTCCTGTCCTACAAGTTCCTAAATTATCTCCTAACTGTACCATTCATCGCGGAATCAATACCATCCACACCGTTAAACAAACCCAAACTGGCTTGCCAAAGTTTCTTCTCGTTCAATAACCACACTTGCATTTTATCTCCCTCATTTCCGAGGATAAAGTTCGCGGAACCACCAGCTACTGCAATTTTGCCGAGCAAAACACCTCCCTCGTTCCAGACATTGACTCCATCTCCACATCCTGCATATACATTTCCTGCCTCATCAGTTTTGATTCCATCTGGAAGACCAGACTGTGGTACGGCGAAGATTCTCTTGTTGGCAAGAGCTGGTTCACCTCCTCGAGTTATAACATCGTATGCGTAAATAGCTCTTGGGGCAGTAGGGGCAGTGGCATTTCCGGCTCCGTCGGTAATGTAAGCGGTTTTCTCATCAGGACTAAATGTGATACCATTTGGTTCTTGGATGCCATCTGCAACCACACGGATGTCATTTGTACCTGGCATGTAGCGGTAGACTTGAGGTGGAAGTAAGGGTTGAGGACGGATTCCTTGCCATGAACCGTATGATGGATCTGTGAACCATAGGGCTCCGTCGCTTGTCACGTGGACATCATTGGGTGAGTTAAATTCAACGCCGTAGTAGTTGTTGATGAGGGTTGTGGCAGTATATGGAGCTGTAGCATTCATGAAAACAAGACCACCGGGTGCGGTCATGGATCCTTGGTCGCAGATTACGAGACCATCGTTGTATTTTGCTCCTCCGTTTGCGAGGGTGAGGGTTCCTTCTGGTTCAATAATGGTAGCGGACCATGAATCACCGGATTTATCTAAACGGGTGATGGAAATGGCCTTGTTGTTAGTGGCAGCAGAACTGGTATTTGAGGCATATTGGTTACTCGTGACGAAAAGAGTTGATTCATCGAAAAAGATGGCGGCTTCATGGAATTGAGGGAAAGAAGAATTTAGGATATTGCTAATAGCTGGCGCGTCTCCAAGAATTGAAGTGAAAGATTCATTGTAGACTTGAAATGGTGAGGTATTGCTAACATTGTACAAGTCCAATGTGGTGATTGTGTCGGCGGTGTAGGTCTAAGGGTTCATTAGTTTGTGGTCATAGCTGTTACCATCACTCTGTACTTACATATATTGTTTCTTGAGCCAAGGCACCAGTGGCAATGGCCAAAGTTGGGAGAATATCTCTGGAATACATCATTTGTTTGATTATAGGTTCTAAAAGAATGAACAAAGATAGATCAAGCCAAGCAAAACCGACAACGAAAGAACATAGCTGAATACTTATACTGAAGAAATATGGGTGTGGATCGTCGAATATGCCGTCCTGGTGGATCTATCTATCAATATCACTTAGCATATGGGCACAGTCATCGACAGTGGCATGTCATTTGTAATTTGTCCGAAGTCTCGAAGCATTTGCCAATGCCCATTGTAATTTGGGTCAACGCCGTGAAACGTAAGTGCCAAGCATGAGAAAATTGACGGTGAAAAGGGGTCGTGAACATTGTTGAATTTGGTGCTTCCAGAAGGCACGAAAGGCCCTATTTTGTTTCTTTCGTTGGTGTGAAACATGCTAGAAATTCTTTTTGAGAGTGCCAAGGTTGAAATCTTCATTCATAAGATCTTTTACCTCGTCGTCGACCAAATTTCTGGAACCTCGAGGGACTTTAAGGTTTCTTGGCATCATCCCATGGCTCATTTCAGAGCCAATGCGATTATGTGCATTGTGCTCTCTTTACCGATGTATGGCCGTATCTTCAAACCTTAAAATTCCTGCCCGTCTGAAGGAAAGCCACAAATGTTAAAATGGCATTATAAATACCTCTCGGGAGGAGATACGCATCATAGTTCGAGTGGAAATCATCGACTCGATTACTGATCTTGCAGTATCTGCAGTATCTCCTTATCGCCAATGCCCTAAGGTGGAATGAGCTGCATTGAATTGTATCGAACTGGTTGGGCTGGGCTCGATTATATAGAACTACCTACTAGACAGGTGTACCTAGTAGATATTGGATCGGATCGTATCGTACTATGGAAGTCTGTGAGCACGTGTTTTGGATGTGAGCAATGTAATTGGTCGTTCCAAATCCGATAAGTTCTACCGAAAAGAGCCCAATAGAATGGTATGATGGAGTGTTTATGACGGTTTTTGACGGTTTTCCAAGTATTTAGGAACTGCGCTTGCCGCGATTAAAGAATACGGAAGCCGAGATGTCCATTGCTCCAAAGCGCAAGTGTATCGGTATGTCCCGGTATATTCACAGTGTGTATGTATTTCAGTCATTATTACCGATTGTGGATAAATAGAGTCTGGAAATATGGAAACATATATCAAACGATAAAACAGCTTTACTTTTTTATACACCAGTGCAGAGGATTCACATGAGAAAAGTCTGTGCTGTGCTTGTTGTCCCCGCCAGATTATCATTGAATCCCAATTGATCAGAGTACCATCGTAAAAAAACCACAAAAAATACCTGCTGCCCAAAATGGATTAGTCTCTTATCTACCCCGCTAAGGTTAACCGTTCTTTCCAAATGTACCGATTAATAACCTTCGACTCTCACCTACCTACTACTGTCAACAAGATACATATCAAACTACACAGCAACGTAGCTTTACCTTGATAGACAATTACTCATCTGTCATATGTCCCTTGTCTTGAGTTTTCCTGTCTGACTGGTATCAATTCCATCTGGTATTCACGATCTTTTCCTGGGTTCATTCCAATATTACACAGTCATCGATTATTTACTCCATCTCACCCTCGATTGAATCATGAATTCGAGACAGCATAGTACTACCACTAGTAGGGCCAACCGAGTCCAGAAGCAGCCACGCATCTACACTTGCTCGGTATGTCAGAGAGTGTTTAAGAGAAGTGAGCATTGTTCAAGGCATGAACGTGGTCGTGAGTACAATCGATCGTGCGAGTCATGCAAGTTCCTTTGTTGATACGAGTTCAACCTCTAGATACCCAGGAGAAACCATTCCCTTGCAAACTATGCGGTCGTAGATACGCGCGAAAGTATGTTGAATATTGCGCGACTTTGATGTTCGTTGTAGAAGATCGATCACATTGACTAATTTCTTATCTAGGGATGTCGTCATACGACATGAAAAGTCTTTCCACCGTGTCGAAAATCCACGACGTCAACAACCTCCTCCTCCCTTACAACCGTCATCTCCAGATTTAGATGCTGAGTCTGAACCGTTCGCAGATTCGATGGTTTCTAATGCGCAACATTATACTACTGAGCCTCGGCTCTCCCAGATGCCAGTAAAACTCGAACATCAAGAATCACCAGAGATGCAATCTACATTAGATCCTCTACTACGAGAACATGATGCACAATTGGCTGGTCATTCCAGTTCATCTGGTCCTCAAATGAATGGTCATGGTGGGCCAAGTCATGGATTTCAACAATATCAGAATGGTTTCATAGATCCAGCCTTGGATATTTCTGATCTCTTTGGACCATCGCCTAATCTAGTAGCCCGAACCTGACAATCACAGTATTATTCACAACAAATGCAATAAATTTCACGGCTTCTTAAAAGCTTATATGCAGCACAACGATATTACGATAAATGCAATTCTGGGGAATGGGATATCACGATTCGGTGTTGTGGGGATATATACAAATGGCAACGCTTGAGATATTTCTATTAATAATCTCTCGTGTGCATTTGCATGGAAATGCTGTCAACTTTGAGATGTTTACTACACTGGCATAGAGGTTTTGCTTGGAGATGTGTTTTTCCATCTCATCTTTTCTTTTGGGAAACCTGCATACACAGCTTTCAGACAAGCAAGTCAACGGTGAATTGCACTGGAAGGGGATTTTGGTACTTGATTTCTTTGAGAAGATACCATATTTGTGCACCTCGAGGGCGTCTCACTTATTTCTAAGCGATTAGCTCAATACAGAAGTTTCGAGATTTAATGAATGCAATCCACAATGTGCTTGTGAAGCCGTTTATTTCTTTGTTTCAATAAACAACAACAGGTCGGTAAATGATTTCTTTGTTCTATTCGTCGAAATTGTCGAAGCATCACCTTGCTTCCATGCTGTTGTTCAATTGTTTCAAATTAGAATTCGTTCGATACCCGCCTGAAATCGAGACTTTTTGAAGCGGTTCGTGTATTTGAGTACCATTATCAAGAATAAGTCGAGTTCAAGTTCAGAACAATGTCTTTGAAACGTGTCAAGTGTCGGGTGCAATGGATACAATATCCAGTTAAATTGAATCAAGTACCAACACTACAACCACAGGAATTACAGCTATCAACTCTATTTTCTTGACACCCACTTCACATTATCCAAGATGCCACCACAATTAACCAGAGTCAATGTAAATTCTCTCCGAGCAGACCAACGCACCTGTGCGATCTGTCAAGACAATCTCGGTGGTGGAGAGAACGGAGAACCTGTTAAAACTGCGTGTAATCACGTTTTTGATCGAGAATGTGTTCAACGTTGGCTTGACGCTGACCACACTACCTGTCCCATTTGTCGCGAGGAAATTCGTAACATCACCGGTGGCGTAAGAGACGCCGCAAGAGATCGGATTAGACAGATCAATAACGCTGCTAGACGCGTTAGAGATAGAGCTGTTGAGGAAAGAGAACAGATGATGCAAGCTCAGGCGGATTATGGAGGTGGGAATGAAGATGATCATCTTGAGGGAAATGTTGGAGAGGAGCTTGAACCCATGCCACTTGATGTGCCGGGAAATTTTAGTACTCCTGCGCCTCCCCGTCTTCGTTCTCCAATCTGGAGATTAGCGTCGAGAAGACAGTCTTCTCCCCCAAGAAGATTCCCCTCACCATCTCCCCACAGATATCCTTCTCCTCCAACAAATCGTCTCCACTCAACTCCTCCCCGAGTTTCCAGTTCCTCGTCAATCACCTCTGCAGCAATGCAACACGCCGAAGCAACTTACATCAGCGCTCTCTCCACCCTCCGATCCCTCGACACCAGAATAATTAACCAAGCGCGTCTCTCCTACGAAGCCAACGTCGTCAAACACGACGCAGAACGTAACGTCCAACTCGCCTTTCAGGAACTCCAACGCGCAGTCCGATCGAACGATCAGGAATCAATCGATCTTGCGCTTGCGATGCAGGAAAGCGTTACGATTCTCTTGGACGATGCGCATAATGCGATGGCGCAGTATAGTGCGCCGTTGAGGGAATGGATGGAGGAGAGACCGAGGGCGAGTGAGAGGTTGGATCGCGCGAGATTGGCTTTTGCGAGGGAGAGGGAGGGGTTTATCAGGGGGGTTGGGAGTGCGAGGGGGGGAAGAGGAGAGAGAGGGAGAATGCGGGATTTTGAGGTTGATGGGGATGAGGAGGCTTGGGAGTCTTATGATCCGAGGGATTTTGAGTGACTAGGTAGGTAGGTAAGTGTGGGGATCATTTGATAGGGAACAGGTGGGTTAGATCATCTGAATTCTGCAAATAGTTTTTGTTTCTTCTTTGTCTGCTTGCTTGCTTTCTTTCCTTTGATTTTCTTTATAATTTTCTAGCTCACATTTTACCTGAATGAAAACTTAGTTCTCGATAAGTTGGTAAGTACACAATATCGATGAACCTCCGCCCCCTTCCCCATTTGTTTTTAATAAAATATATGATTAACTTATTAAATTATAATTACGATTGATCGTCAATGTATACAATGCGATATCATACAATGTGATGTGATGTGATATGATGTGATATACTACAACTCCCCAGTCCATCCAGGGTGTCTCGACCTCTTAGAGGTTAGCTTTTATATTATAATAATAATAATTATTATAATAATAGTGAGTTCTAGTAAATTTAGGCTTAGGGATGAATCAAATATATAATATAAGAGTTGAATTGAAGTTAATTTATTAGAGTAGATTGAATTAAGGTGAAACTGCTTGCTTTTTTCTAGGTTTTCTTTAAAGAATATCCTAGGTTTATAGAGTTTATAATGAAATTCTAATAGTTTATAACCTTATAAATAAATTTGATTTAAATCGTATCTTATAGAACTTTATTATATCATAAAAAGAAAGTATGTTATTCAATTTAATTTATTTTATTAATAATTTTCTATATTATTTTATTCTATTCTATTCCATTATAAATCAATTTAATAAAAGATACTATTATACAATTATATGAAAATATAATTTTATAATCTAGAATTATATTAT